TAAGGAAGTCCACATTTATAAGTTTTAAACAGAGCTAGATCATGTGATTAGTGTTTAGTTGAGCTAAACTGATTAGTTTAACTCACTTCACCAAACATAACATAGTTTTAATACAGGTTATAAAGAGACTTCACTAAACATAACATAGTTTTAATACAGGTTATAAAGAGACTTCACTAAAAATAACAGTTTTTATAAAGGTTATATTACAGGTTATAAAGGTCATAATACAGGTTATAAAGAGACTTCACTAAACATAACATAGTTTTAATACAGGTTATAAAGAGACTTCACTAAAAATAACAGTTTTAATACAGGTTATAAAGAGACTTCACTAAACATAACATAGTTTTAATACAGGTTATAAAGAGACATCACTAAAAATAACAGTTTTAATACAGGTTATAAAGAGACTTCACTAAACATAACATAGTTTTAATACAGGTTATAAAGAGACTTCACTAAACATAACATAGTTTTAATACAGGTTATAAAGAGACTTCACTAAACATAACATAGTTTCAATACAGGTTATAAAGAGACTTCACTAAAAATAACAGTTTTTATAAAGGTTATATTACAGGTTATAAAGGTCATAATACAGGTTATAAAGAGACTAAAAAGTAAATGATTTATTTCCAGAATAGCTCCAGAGATTGAAAGCTCAAGATACATGATGGAATTCCTCTTCTCATTAGGTAGTTAGCACTGCCATCTTGAATGTGTGCAAGTTTGAACGTTGCCACTGAATGCTGTTTAAATCAGGGTGTAAAGTCAGTGATGTACAACAGAAACTTTTTCATGTACCACTGAAGGCTGTTTAAATCAGGGTGTAAAGTCAGTGATGTACAACAGAAACTTTTTCATGTACCACTGAATGCTGTTTAAATCAGGGTGTAAAGTCAGTGATGTACAACAGAAACTTTTTCATGTACCACTGAAGGCTGTTTAAATCAGGGTGTAAAGTCAGTGATGTACAACAGAAACTTTTTCATGTACCACTGAAAGCTGTTTAAATCAGGGTGTAAAGTCAGTGATGTACAACAAAAACCTTTTCATGTGCCATTGAGTACTATTTAAATCAGGGTGTAAGGTCAGTGGTGTACAATAGAAACTTTTTCGTGTACCACTGAGTACTATTTAAATCAGCTGATTAATGAGGCAGCCATATCAACTGGACCTCTTAGGTACAACTTGTCTTTTACATAACCCTATAGTTTGTAGTTTGGTTGTGAAACATTTGGTGGCTGAAGTGGCCAGATCAACTGGACCTCTTGGGTACAACTTGTTTTTTACATAACCCTATAGTTTATACTTTGGTTGTGAAACATTTGGTGGCTGAAGTGGCCAGATCAACTGGACCTCTTGGGTACAACTTGTCTTTTACATAACCCTATAGTTTGTAGTTTGGTTGTGAAACATTTGGTGGCTGAAGTGGCCATATCAACTGGACCTCTTGGGTACAACTTGTCTTTTACATAACTCTATAGTTTGTAGTTTGGTTGTGAAACATTTGGTGGCTGAAGTGGGCAGATCAACTGGACTTCTTGGGTACAACTTGTCTTTTACATAACCCTATAGTTTTAGTTTGGTTGTGAAACATTTGGTGGCTGAAGTGGACAGATCAACTGGACTTCTACTTCATTCTCCTCCACAGGGGTTTCAGTAACTTCTGTTGTAATGGTGGAGGACTGTTGCTGCATAATAACATTATTATACAGTAGCACAAATCTCAAGAAATCTCATAAGTTTGGAAAGAGTTGTCTAAAGGTTAGTGGCATCCAAATCTCTAGGGCAGATTCACAGGTAAGCTAGCTGTCTGTGTGTGGAGATGAGTAGCATTTCGGAAGATAACATGTATCTTCTAACACTACAGTCTTTAAAGTTTTATATACAGAAATAATTATATTTTTGTTTCAATTAAAAATATCAAATTAGCATCAGAGCCCTTTTACTGTTACCTCTGGTTTTATAAAAGAAATCGTGTATTTTGAAAATAATTTATCATTAATCTACTTACTAGCTAATTCTTTGTTTTGTTGTACGAGTTGATATCGCAGATCATACATCTGTTTAACTTCTGGAAGGTCTTCAAGATAGTTGTCCAAACTCTTTTCATCTTTCAGGTTTTCAAGTTCAGGAATACTAATAAACACATGCACTTAAATAACTGTTAATAGTAAATAACTTCTAAATATCTATATAAATAACAGAATCGCAGATCATACATCTGTTTAACTTCTGGAAGGTCTTCAAGATAGTTGTCCAAACTCTTTTCATCTTTCAGGTTTTCAAGTTCAGGAATACTAATAAACACAAGCACTTAAATAACTGAACCAAAATTCTTAAGTTATTTTTAATAGTAAATAACTTCTAAATATCTATATAAATAACAGAATCTACAGTAAGATTTATCAGGTTTTAACAAAATTCAAAAAGTAGCAGCAAAACTTGGGATTAGCATAAGATTTGTTGTTATGAAATGGTGTATTAACTTTTTGTAGTAGTAACATAAACATAGTAGTAGTTGTACATAAACATACACTAAACAATACAAAAAATATTAGGTTGACAATTTAGTTCCTCTTTATTCTCAGATCTTTAACTTTTAAAACAATATTTTATGGAAGATTTGTTTAATTTGACAACATTGTAAAGACTTAAACACCAGAACCAGATATCATATCTGGAAAATTAGTGGAATGAAAAGTACTTTTGGAGAAAAGTTCCACGATTTTTTCTATAAATAACTTTTAAATAACGTTGTGCTTCAAACAATAGTTTAATCTCAATTTCTAATTATAATACTTGAAACAAACTAAGTTTATAACTTGGAATTACTGTGAGAAATAAGTTAACATATGCTGTACTATGGTTATGTATATTATAATTACTTTTCTTGTTCTGTTATTAGCCAAAAGGTTACTTTAGGTTGAGAGTTTCTTTACACTTAACACCTAGTGTGTGTAAATGAAACCAGCTGAAGCACGTTTTCAGTGTTAAGAAATTCATAAATCAATCCTTACACACAAGTTTCCATATCTGCAGTAAACTTGCTGCTTTCATCTGCAGTGTACACTGTTCATACGACTAAGTGAATACAAACAATTACAGTTACTTAACAAGTCTCACTCTCAAAAAATACTTTATCTCTTAAAAATACACATGAGTTATGTATTAATTTTTGCAATGTGTTTTAATGTGCTGAGTTTTTAATGTGTTTTAATGACTATTAATTGTTTGTCATAAAGACAAATGAGAGAAGTGTTTCAAGATATTGAATCACCACAAACCTTAACTCCTTCAGTACTGGAAAGATACAATCATTCAACATGTAAGAACAGGTATCCTGTAAGAAAATAGCAATTTGTAAAGACAAACATCCTCCAATAATAAAAACATCAATATTTCTAAAGAAAGACAACCTGTAAAAAAAATAACTGCAAAGAAGAGGTATCCTACAAAAAACTGCAAATTTTAAAGCCAGGTATCTTATACAAGAAAAAGCAATCTGTAATGGTATCCTATATAAAAACAGCAAATTAAAAGAATATAAATCCAACACAACCATCACTCTGTGAACAGTTCTGTCACAATACTTCCTGTTTTGATTGTGTTTATGTTCAGACTTCACTGTGATGCTCCCTGCATGTTCATATACACATTCATATTTTTTTATAGAGAAACTATATAACATAAAAATATTTTTATAGAACAAAATCTATATAGAAAAATGTACACTTGAAAGTATTCAATCTACTTACATATAGTTGATGGTTGGAGTTTCAAATCCTAGATTTAAAAGTTTTGTCAATACAAAACACAGGTTCTCAAATGGAAATAGATGAACACTTTCACATACATTAGAAGTTTTACTTAAACTTTGTTTACTTTCACAAATGGAAATAGATGAACACTTTCACATACATTAGAAGTTTTACTTAAACTTTGTTTACTTTCTAATATTAAACATAAAAGGACAAATATTACTAAAGACTACAAAAATAACTTATTAAGCATCAATAAAAAAAAATCACTTCAGTGTTAAATCAAGGTTAACTTCCCCAGCTGTGTGTTAAATCAAGGTTAACTTTCCTAACTGTGTGTTAAATCAAGGTTAATTTACCCAACTGTGTGTTAAATCAAGGTTAACTTCCCCAACTGTGTGTTAAATCAAGGTTAACTTCCCCAACTGTGTGATAAATCAAGGTTAACTTCCCTAACTGTGTGTTAAATCAAGGTTAACTTCCCTAACTGTGTGTTAAATCAAGGTTAACTTCCCCAACTGTGTGTTAAATCAAGGTTAACTTCCCCAACTGTGTGTTAAATCAAGGTTAACTTCCCCAACTGTGTGTTAAATCAAGGTTAACTTCCCCAACTGTGTGATAAATCAAGGTTAACTTCCCTAACTGTGTGTTAAATCAAGGTTAACTTCCTTAACTGTGTGTTAAATCAAGGTTAACTTCCTAACTGTGTGTTAAATCAAGATTAATGTGCTTTATTTTAAGATATTCAAGCTGCTGGCTTACCTGAGACACAGACAGTCCTGAGCTGGTTAAATATGGTGGCTGTACTCTATTTGAAAAAATTAAATTTCTTTTTTTACTTTAACAAATGTACAAAAACCAAACACAATTTCATTAAACTTTTACATGAACCTCAAGCTTGGTAAGTCTAGTAACATAATGAATTTTATATTTGTTAAGCTTATCGGTTTAGCTGAACTAAATGCTAAGTCAGATGTTCTAGCTCTGTTAAAACTTATAAAATGTGGACTTCCTTAGTTTGGAATTCTTTATAACCTGTATTAAAACTATGTTATTCTTGTTTCTCATGAAGAAGAAAAGTCCACATTTTGATCTCTTTATAACCTGTATTAAAACTATGTTATTCTTGTTTCTCATGAAGAAGAAAAGTCCACATTTTGATCTCTTTATAACCTGTATTAAAACTATGTTATTCTTGTTTCTCATGAAGAAGAAAAGTCCACATTTTGATCTCTTTATAACCTGTATTAA